GATAGGAAAGAGAAGAAATAAGGTGGGGAAGGAAAAGGACATAAGGTGGGAAGGTGGGGAGAGCGACTAAACCTCACATGTGAGATGGTGTTTGGGATTTAGCCAGAGTTGGTGATGTCAATTGAGTTCTGTCTTTATTCCGATCTGGTCAAGACATCTCCTGGGATTAGGATGATGAAGGCCCAGTGATGTTATGCTGGATCCTGTGGCCCCAGGAGATGTTGGAGGATGAGGTGGGCCGTCATAATGGAAAGTTCACTCCTTTCTAGTCTTTCAGTTGATGATGATGATAATAATAATAATATTGAGATATACCTATCTCATAGAACTGGAATGGATGTTGAAAGGTCATCGAGTCCAGCCCCCTGCCTTCACTAGCAGGACCAAGTACTGATTTTTGCCCCAGATCCCTAAGTGGCCCCCTGAAGGATTGAACTCACAACCTTGGGTTTAGCAGGCCAGTTCTCAAACCACTGAGCTATCCCCCCCCATGATAATAGTTGCATCCGCCTCCCAATGTCTTTCTTTTTTAAAGGACCCCAAAAGGGAGTGATGGCTGGAATTGCCCATCCCTTCATTATTTTGTTCACCAGTTAGGCCTCTTTTCCGACTCACCATATTTGGTTCCCGGATTTCCAGTTCCACACTTCTTTTGTTTACCAGACATCATCTTAACACAGTCCTCGAGTTATCTCAATAGGCTTTTTCATTTGGTTTAATTCAGTCTTTGTCTTGCTTTTGCACCTTTCCCCATCGACATTCATTGTTATAAGTAATTGTGACACTTTATGAACGTTCACTTGTTTTTCACAGTTGAGCTTACGTTTAGGGTAAACTTGTAGGCCCATTTATCACAGTAGCCCCTGTGATGGTTCTCAGGGAACCCAAGACTGAGAGTCACCTTGTTACTCCTCTGCCTATAGTGTGAGAGGGTCTTGCTTGTGCTTACCTGGGTGTTGGCTCCTTGACACCACCAGCTTGTTAATCACCCAAGCACACTCTTCTGGGCTATGCCAGCTCTTTCTTTGCCTTTTGGATTAACAGTGGGTGCACTCCAGTCCCTGACTTCTTTTGAAGTGTTTCCCTGTAGTGTTCAGCCCTTTCTCCACTGGACACAAATACCAGGTCTGCTGACCCCAAAGGACCACTATACACACCAGCTTGTAGAATTCAACTCAGGATTATCACCTTGCTTAATGTTACAGCACATAGATATATGAATAGTGAAAACGAGAATAGGTTTATTATCAAAGATTTAAATGTTAGTGAGTCAGAATATTGGCAACAAAAGGTTGCATGTAAAACAAAATCATAACATGCTTTCTAGAGACTAAACTTTAACAGGTTTAAAAGGAAGTATTTCTTCACACAACGCACAGTCAACCTGTGGAACTCCTTGCCAGAGGATGTTGTGAAGGCCAAGACCATAAAAGTGTTCAAAAAAGAACTAGATAAATTCATGGAGTTTAGCTCCATCAATGGCTATTAGCCCGGATGGGCAGGGATGATGTCCCTAGCCTCTGTTTGCCAGAAGCTGGGAATGGGCAACAGGGGATGGATCACTTGATGGTTACCTGTTCTGTTCATTCCCTCTGGGACACTGGCACTGGCCACTGTTGGAAGACAGGATACTGGGCTAGATGGACCTCTGGTCTGACCCAGTAGGGCTGTTCTTATGTTACGTTAACCTCCTATCTCAAGAAATTTATCTCACCCCCAAAAGTCCTCTGCAGCATTTCGACCAAGGTTGGCTGATATCCCATTTTCATCAGTGTAAACGCATTACCCATTTACTTCATAAGTGTAGGAAAAGAGCGTGTCTTCTTTGCTGTCTCCTTATACTCTCCAAAGTACATAGAGACAGTATAACCACCCAGGGCTTCTTTTTCCTGAGTGCTTGTTCTCTGTTGACTTCATCTATAAATGGGTATCCATTATGTTAGTTTTCAGTGTTTGATTTACATCTGACACAGAGAAAGGTGAATAAAGACCTCTTGTCTGACAGAAAACTTGTTTTTGTTTTTTAATTCTTGTGGTGGCTCATACCTTGATACCTCTAAGACCTCACATGGCATTCTTTGGTGAAACAGAATATATATACCAGAATCAGGACATTGCTGTAACCTCTTTGCCAGTTGGCATTAAGGGTTTCTTGGGTAACATCCCCAAGTGATGATATATATATAAAATAACATTGAAACAGGGCCAGGCTTATGACTTTACAAGTCTTTTGGTTTGACAAATGCACCTGCCATTTCTTGATAAATGATCCTTCTGGCAAACATTCGCGTGTGTGTCATAGTTCATGTTGATGACATTTTTATTCATAACTAGTGAGTTGATGAACACACACACCTTTTTGACTAATATTACAGATGTGTCTAGAGGTGAACAAAAGCTCCTGGTTAACAAAATTATCCAGTTCCCAGGTGACAGCCACTTGGATACTAGAAAGTGTCTAAATGATGAATATACGTATTGGTTGTTATGTTTGTGTGGCCCTTATATTTTCATATTATAGTGCATTGTTTTCTTTTCCATTGCTGTATTCAGACAATTAAAGAATTAAGAAAACACATTAAAATTAAATTTTGACACAGATATATAATTTGAACAAGCCAACGTAGCTTTAGACGATGAAGACCTTTCCTTGTATCCTATAAATATTCCCAGACAAAAACGACATTATAGTGAGTTTGAGGGTACGCACAACGCTGGGAGGCAGGGTACTGGACTGTGGCCTAAGAAATGTGGATTCTATTTCCAGTTTGACCGTTGACTGGCTGTGATGTTGGGCAAGTAACTTCTCCGATGCTTTCCTCTGCCACCCTTTATCTGACTTGTCTATTTAGATGATGAGGTCTTCAGGGTAGGGACTGTCTCTTACTATCTGTTTGGACAGCACCTACTACAATGAGGGCTCTGATCTCAGTTGGGCCTTACTTGAATACAAATTATAGATGATGATGGTAACACACATCAGTATGTCATGCTGATATCACCTCCCATTCCGTGTTTAGTGAAATTGGTATGTTAGTCTTGTTGAGCCTGTCATGGGGTGCATTCACTGCAGGTGGAGCGCTGGGGATTAGCTCTTTCCAGATGTGAGGCCCCCTTGTGCTGCTCACCGCACGCCTGGCTGCTGCTTTCTCTCTCACTCTCTGAGGCTCAGGGTGCTCCCTCTTTGTGACTTGGCCCTCCAGTCACCTCACTGTGCATGTTTCCCCATTCCGGGGTAACAAAGGCTTTCCTTACCAGCAGTCTTAGGCAGTCTTCCCATTCACTGCCCCATGGGACTGCTTCCCCAGGTGCTGGTATGGGAACCCAGGCCCACCCTCTATTCCGGGTTCCAGCTCAAAGACCCTCTAATGAGCAACTGAGGTCTGTCCCATTCTGGACCTTACTGCCTTTCACCTGAACCTTTTCTAACCTTCTGGTTTCCCTCCTTCCCTGGGTTTGTCAGAACTCCCTCCTCCCTTTAGGCTACTTGTTTCTATAGCCCCAAGCAGACCTCCCTTCTCCCATGGAGTGATTGCAGAATACCTCCCTGCAGCCCCTCTCTGCTATCAGCTCCCTGGCTTTATAGAAGCCCTGACTGTTGCTGCACAAGTGAGCTTCCCCTAATTAGGTCCTTTCTCTCGGCCTAAATTCTTCCAGTTTGTAGCCTAATAGGTTAATTGGCCTAACTGGCTTCCATAAACCCCATCAGGGTAAGTGTGGGGTGTACTGTAATGCCTAAGGGGGGAAATATTCTCTCTCCTGTTTTTTTTTTTTCCCAGTTTGTTTTTAGTGTACAGTTGTGCCTAACCAATGAACTGTTTCTTTCCTTTTAGACAAGGATCTGCCCATTATAGCCACCTGGGTAGAACCTTGCTCCCACACAGAGCTACCTCGAGTTCCATGGCCTGCTTGCTTGGATCTGAATGCAGGATCTGGTTCTTAGCTAGTCAGTTTTTCACTGTTAGTTTTGTTTTGGGACTTTGCACTCAGTTTCAGGGAAGAGGAAAACATTCTTTAAAAAGTTAGGAATATGTCATGTAAAATCCATAAAAACTGACAAAGGGAACTCGGAGACAGAAGCAGTAACTTAAAGTACTTAAGACCAGATTTGATGCTGACTGTTTCACTTTAACGGTGATGCTGTGTTACTTCTGTTACTTGGTCAGTACTGTCCACTTGCAGTCATGTCTTGTCTTGTTATACAACATGTATCATCTTCAGTATTAAAGTTTTCCACTTGTGGCTCTCAAAGCACCTTATAAACATTGTCATTTGCCACAGCTCTCCTTAACTCTCCTTATCACCATTCTATGATTGTATGGTGTGAGAAACTGAGGCACAGAGAAGTTATTGAATGATTTGCCCAAGAAGTCACACAGGGAGTTTGGAGCAAAGCATCTTTTGTGCATTAGCATAGAACCCAGTTGTCTTACTCTGGCCACAGTTCAGGAAGTACTTAAGCATATGCCTGGCTTTAAGCATCTGAGTCAGTGGGGTTACTCACATTGTTGAAAGTTTATCTTGTTGAATGAGGACGTCCTTGTCCTGTTTTAGTAAATATAAAGTAATCCTTCTCTGTTATCTGTTTCCTGCTATTGGACTCAAAGTAAAAACTGTAAATATATAGCTTTGGGGGTGATTTCTCCCTGTCCAGAAAACCCCCATTAGTCTTTGCACTAGCAGCTTTGCAATATGAGATGTATTGCAAGATGGATGGACCCAGAGGTGTAGCAGGTGTAACAGTTGTACTGTGTTATGGCCTGATTGATCAATGTGTATGTCAGTGTCATGCACCCCCAATTTAGTGGCCTCTGTATCTTTATACAAATGTCTACAATATACTGTCACTGAATCAGGTTGTTGTTTAGTTGAACACTGGACATGGGAACTGGGTTTCTTTGGTTATTTATGATTTAATGATCGTGTGTGTAGTGCTGTGGTGCTAATTATACATAGATAATTACTGATATGTTATAACAGCATCTTGGTCTGTTTTGCAGAGAGCACAAGATCAGGATCAGAAGAGCAAGTCCCTCTGTATGAAGAATTTATTTACTGTTGTGGAGCTGCTACTCAGGTCTTAAAGTGTGGGCCCTGGAAAGACCTCTTGGAAACTGAAAGTAAAACTCTCCCCAGGCTCTTATTTCTCATTATTCCAGGTAAGTTTAGAAAAAATGCAAAGCTCTAATTAAAAGGACACTGGCAGGTTAAAATTAAATATGACAAAATTACCCAATTCGTCACACAGGGAGTTTGAGGTAGTTGCAGGAATAGAACCCAAACTCCTGATGCTTTAATCACAAAATTATCCTTCATCTGTTTTTTTATGATCTATATTACAAGTAGTGCTTTACATGAATAAAACTGAAAATTTACAAAGTCTGATGTGCTCCTTATGCTGTTCACTTGCTTTCTGCATCATATTTATCTTGTAAAGTTAACAAACTAACAGATGTTAGTCTATAAGGTGCCACAGGACTCTATTGCTTTTTACAGATCCAGACTAACACAGCTACCCCTCTAATATTTATCTTGAACAGTTGAAGCAGGCAGGGCAGTTTTGCTTCTCTTCCTTGTCAGTTTCACTTTGCAGCTCTTGTCCTTTAGGGTAATGCTGCCTCGTCAGTCTTGCACACATGTCCAGTGGATGATTAAATTCACAGGGAAGAGTTTCAATTGCAATTTAAAAGAAAATAATTGATGAAAATAATTTCTTCTTATGAGAGTTTTGTAATATTTTTCTTTAAAAAATCCTAGATTTTCAGCCTAAACTACCCTTTACATCAACTGATATAACAAATATCCAAGATTATTACTTAAATTACACTATTAAATTTTGTACAAACAAAACTATTAACACTTGCCAGATTAAATAGAGTTAAGATTTAAGAGCCAAAATCTAGCTTCATTGAAATCAACGGGAGTTTTGCCATTGACATTAGTGGAAGCAAGAGTTGTTCTCTAGTGATCCAGTATAGCATGACAATTATAATTATGTTGAGTGACTTCAATAGTGATTGCTTATATTGGCTTGGGGGGCAACTATTTTGGTACTTTTAACTCTCTTCTCTCCATCACAGTACTGTACTTTAGAGATAATGTTAATTGCCTGAGAGACAGTGAAGCAATGAATGACCCTTCTGGTTTTCCAGTTCCTTTTCACGTGTTTGACTAAAAAACCTCTTTATATACCTCTGTATACTCTGGTGCTATAAATAACTACTCAGGGGCAAGTCCAAAAAATTAATAATTTTTTGGGGTATGATGTATTTGGAACAAGTTGCATCATTAAAAATAGATGTTCTGATCTTACTTCAGTGGTAGTTAGCCTCTTAGCATCAGGGCTGTGAATGTTAATTGTGTGACAATACATTAAATATGTATTATTTCTGGACTGTGATTGGCAAAAATCATATTGTATATTAAAAAAAACACCCAATGCCTTAAAGACATTGTGTCCATTTCTGTAGCAAAAAAGCATGCTGTTTCCATTGTTGGATTCTTATGCAAGGTTTTGGAAGCCTCCCCAAAAGTTGTGTGTATTTGATATTTCTGGGCATATCTCTTTGGGACTTGGGCACTACATTTTGTGTGGTACCTACTGGAGTTGGATAATCATGTCATTTTAACAGATCAGCTATTGTTAAAACTATCACTATTTAACCAATAGTTGAGAAATAATGCTCCTAATAAATAAAATCAGATGTTGCCACCTTTTCAGGGGTGAAGTAAGCACCAGCTAACACAAATAAGAGTGGCAGAATCTGTTCCTGCAATGACCTCTGTATGGGCAGACCCTCACTGAAGTCAGCAGAGCTCTTCAAAGGAGCAGGATTGGGACCAAAGTTTGTAGCATGCAGTCTGCTTTCAGTGGATGTACTTCTGGAAGGCCAAAACGGATCTGCCGAATTAAATAAGTGTTGTCCCATGTTGTAGATGCTTTCCTGAACATTGCTCCTGCGTTCAAGTGGTGAAGATGGGAAAAGAATTGTTATGTGTGAGGCAGTGGAGTGGCAGTACTACATTGATATAGTTTCCGAGAGAACCATTCTGCAAAAACTTTGTAAACGTCTTTTGGCCAAAGGAGCAGAAGTGAAATGTTCATAGCAACATTTGTCCTTGCGGTCTGGGAGGCTTTACTAACAGCTGATTCACGTTTTTGCCATTTATTTTCAGTACAAATTGGAAGTTCCCCTGACTGTGAAAACAATTTTTTTAAAAAGAAACAGGTTGCTAAACAAAATTTTGGACTAAGGAATAATGAATGATGGTGAGGGCATTTCCTGGCAGTCAGTAACCAGCTGGAGGAGCTGAGAGCCCTTGGCTCTCCCCCAGTCCCATAACCAGATGATTGTTTTTTCCGTTTTCACAGTTTATAGTAGCAATAATGACCTTCTGGTTCCTAGCAGTTAACAAAGTACCTTCTTATGTGTTAAAAAGTTAAAAATTGAATGACACTTTACCATGGATACAGTGATCTGTTTAAAGGGCTAATCTTTGCTCTAGCAGTTAGCAGCTGTAGAGTAACCAACCAAGATTTGATTCTGATTAAGTATATATTTATAAATTTCTCTTCAGGTGATTGCTAATATTTTTTTGACCTGAGATGTTAAATATTGACTCAAGCAAAGCAGATGTCAAGTTTTTCCTCCAAGCACTCAAAAGTTAGGAAATGCCGGCACTAAGGTTTCCTGTGCAACCTTCTTTTGGCCCTCTTGTGAGTAGTATTATGACAGTCTTTAATTATGTGACTCAATACTATTTTTTCCAAGCCCCTTTTCACCCTTGCTACTTCCTTCCCCTTCAGCACTAGCCTTAGCCCATCTCATGCACCCCTTGTTCCCATCCGTGTTCCTTGCCCTTTCCCAGCTCCTAGCTAGATCAGGAAAAAGTTTTCCCCTCCCATGAAATTTTTAGATTTTTCAAAAATGTTCCCATTCCACATTAGAATGAAACCAAGTCCTTTCAGTGTTTTTCATGAAAAACCAGAGAGAGATCTGCCCTAAAATAGCTGATAGCCAGTGGTTAGGGCACTCACTTGGGATGTGGGACACTCAGGCTGTGCTGCTCTCCTCCATCCCAGGCTATTCTGGGGTGGGTTTTAACCAGCAATTACATCCTGGACCTGGAAAGCCTTTCCCAATGGAAGTTTTTCAGTACATTCCCATGAAGAGTTTGGGGTTTTGACAAATTAGGATTTTATGACCCCCCCCCCCAACCTCCAAAAAAGTTTTGTCTGAAAATTTCCAACCAGCTCTATTCTTGACCCCTTACCTCACCAGCTCCAATTCTCCTACTGTGCTGTTCTCTCACTCCTTTGCATACGAGTCAAGGTGTTTCCTCTTCTCTGCCTTGGGCACTGGCAGGGGGAGCACTGAGTGCACAGAGGACACAATCGGCCTGCTCTCAGTTCTGGCACTTAGCCCCACTCTGGCACACAGCAGCCGAGAGGAGCAATTGCAGGGGAAGTCCTGCTCAGTCCTGGGATGGGACATGTTCATTTGGTCTCTGGTTAGCATATAGAGGCTGTCATGGGGAGCGCGCATGCTTGATGCAGACAGAATATTTAGAGAAACTGTCTTCCAGATTCTTAATATTGAGCATATGCAAAGTGCTTTTTTTGTTTTTGTTTTTTCCAGAGCTTTATAACTAGGAATGATTTGGGCTCCTTTTTTTCCCTAAGGACAGAAAAAGGCACATCGCTAACACCAGCATGACCCTCCTGCCAAATTTCAAGTCCCTGCTGCAAAGCACGGAGGCTCTAGAGTTTCTTGCCAAAACAATTGTAAGGTAGTTTTAACACGGGCAAAACAACGCATTTTCCCCTCACCTCGTTCTCGGAAGCAGCTGAACTGTTTTAGGTGAAACTTTCCAAAAAAGTGTGGAAAGTGCCTTAGGCCTATGACCGACATAAAACATTTCAGCCCAAACAGTTTGGCAAAATTTTATATGTATGCAACTGAAAACAGTCTTACAATTGAAAGTGTCAGGCAACTTTAACTATAGATATTGCTGCGTGAGGTGCCTATAATAAGACTCTGTATTATGTAGATTATTACATTCTGAATGTCTACCTGTTAACTCTTGTTTGTACCTCCGCTAGCACAGTGGCCATGATTTACTGCAGTGCCAGACTTGCCAATCCCCAGTATTCAAAAATCATGAGTTTGCCCTCCTTTCCCACCCCACGCCCCCAAATCATGAGATCAACTTAAAAAAAATTAGTTTTTTTTTTAAATGGGTTCTTTTGATTTGCCTTCTGATTCTTGGGCCTTGAGGTTTCACACTGTCAAGCATTTCTCTCCAACCATAAGATTATTTTTTTTTAATGAGCTGAGATTCATCCCTCCAGGATCTAACACCAAACATTGTGACAGACATGGTAAAGCCATGAGAATTGGTATCATTGCAGAAATAATAATCTGAAATATCTAGAAATCTTTCCATTATCGCTGTAAACTTTTAAGAAATGTAACAGTTTTCCCTTCGTAATTAACAGTAACAAGCTGGCATTGTTAGCATGAAATGTCCCAGTCTGGTAGCAGGGGCCGATACTGGGCTAAGTGAGTATGCTGACCTACTGAGGCATGTGAGTTGTTAGGCAGATGTTTCTCTCTGGGGGAAGGAAGATCTAGGGCAGGGGCGGACAAACTTTTTGGCCTGAGGGCCGCATCGGGTTTCATAAATTGTATGGAGGGCCGGTTAGGGGAGGGGGTTGTGGCCCGGCCCCCGCCTCCTATCTGCCTCCACCCACCCGGGACTCCTGCCCCATCCAACCCCCCCGTTCCCTGATGCCCCTGGCACTCCTGCCCCATTCACACACCCCTTCTCCCTGTCCCCTGACCGCCCCATCCAACCCCACCTCTCATTCCTGACGGCCCTCCCTGGACCCCTGCCCCATCCAACCACCCCTTCTCCCTGTCCCCCGGACCCCTGCCCCCATTCAACCCCCTATTCGCTCCCCTGACCGCCCCAACCCCTGTCCACACCGCCACCCCCTGAGCACCACCCCGAACTCCCCTGCCCTCTATTCAACCCCCCCTGCTCCCTGCCCCCTTACCGTGCTGCTTGGAGATGGCGCTACAGCCGGGCCACGCCGTAGCTGCCGCCACGCAGCACAGAGACACTGAATGCTGAGAAGTGCTAAGATGCTACAGTA